AGCATTGAAAGGCTAAAACTGGAAAAGGAATAATTATGAATCGGAATTTTTTGTCGTTTCTATTTTATAGTTTTTTTGCTTTTTTCGTAGTTTTAAAATTTTTTGTTTTTCATATTTTGTACATTTTTAAATCATTTTCTGGAATGGAGGGAAGGAGGAGACGGAGAGGAGGGCAGTCGAGAAGAGACCGAAAGATGAGATGAGATGAAATGAGTTGTTGAAGGTCACTTGGGTTTGCACGGGCCTTTTCGTCGCAGAGGTTTCTGCTTGGAAAGTGTGTCACCCTGTCCATTCCCTTTCCGCTATTTCTCCAACTTACCTACCACCTCATTAAAACGAGGAAAAAGTCTTAGAGACTTTTCAAACTCCTCATGTGCTTGTTCAAGCCTCCTCTGTGAGATTCTGTTCTCCTCCATGATGTCCTCGATAAAGGTTGGAGAGATTGCAAAAGTCTCCCCACAGAACTCTTCTAATGACATCAACTTCTCCCCTTTTATGTGGTCGCCGTCTCCGGAAGCCACATATTTATCTACTTCTCTATGACACTCATCTGAATGTTCACATTCCTCTCCTATTTCTCTCACGCTACTATCCTCATCCTCCTCTTTCTCTTCTTCTTCTTGTTCTTCTACTTCTTCTATTGTGCTCAACTGGCCACCTCGAAACCTCTTAAATTCCCTTTCTAGCTTCTCTTGATCTCTTCTCTCCCTCCTCTTCTGCTTCGCCTCTTTATACTCCTCACAGAGCCTTACGAGCATAAGGAATTCTCTCAGGCTAGGGGAGCACTCGCTATCCTCATCTATATCTTCACCTTCATCTTCACCCTCTCTCATCTTCCATCTTCCTCTCCTTTGCTTCTACATTCCTATTCTTCTCTGCCTCCGCCTCTGCCTGTACAGCCTCCTCACACAGTCTTTCAAGCATGAGAAATTCCCTTAAACTAGATGAACACTCGCTATCTTCATATTCGTATTCATATTCATATTCTCTACTCTCAACCTCAATCTCATCTTCTACTTTCTCCTGCACTGCCTTCTCACTCGTATTCTTCTGTTCTATGCTATTCTCCATCTGCTCCAACTCTTCATCCTCCTCACATAGGCTTTCGAGCGATGGAAATTCTCCCAAGGTGGAGGAGCATTCGCTATCGGCATCGGTGTCAGTGATGGTGCCTACTCTACTCTCGATCTCGTCTTCTACTTCCTTCTCTTTCGCTGAAATCTCCCTCATAGTCGCTTGTTTCATTCTATTTGTCGCTGCCCATATCTCTTCGTGGCCTGTACTATTTCTAGTCTCTCCTCCTGGTTCTCCTGCTTCCACAGCTTCATCTACCCTCATAGGCGAGTCATTTCTGACGCGCCTACGTCGAGTAAAGCGGAAGAAACGATGCGTGGTCGATAGACAGTTGCCTATTGCAAAAGTTCAGCGAAAGTGAAAATTTGCAGCAGTTTTTTAGTTTACAGCGAAAAAAAACCATGTCAATATCGATCATCAATTAGGACAATTTACTCGAGCGCGAACGTGCGCGTGTGTGCGCGCGCGTTTATTAATCTGTACTAATAGCATATCGCTGCCAATAATTGAAATAGCCAAAAATGTTATCATATTCCTTTTATTATTCTCCTTCGTTGTCGTTGTCGTTGTCGTCTTCGTCTTATTATTATTATTTTTATTTCAAAAACGACTCCTCAATGAGTATACGTTAGTTAGAAAATAGAAGTGATTGAGGAATTAGCAGGGTCTAATGAATGTCATGCATTTTAGAGGTGTGGTTGAAATGAAGACTACTCGAAGGAGTGGATGCATATGCTAGTGGTGCTTTGGAAAGAGATTGACGAGGAACTCCTCCACATCAACATTAAAGATGGCATTCTGATGGGTGATGTTACAACCATCGTTGGCTGCCATTGGGAAAGCGGGTGTCGCCTGGTGGAAGTTTCTCACTTGTCGAGAAGTACCTTGACTGGTTGACCATCCACCAATTTCCTATATGCAGTCAGCGCAGCTGAGGCTAAGAACGCCACCACGATGGGCGGCATATCCTCCAATCTGGTGATTGAGAGCTCTAAGGCAGGAGTTCTTTGACTACACCTTGATCCAATGACCACATTCGTGAGATGCTTTCTACTCTCCATCTCTTTACTTCCCCTGACCTATACCATACCATACTGTCTCACTATTCTTTGTGTTCGAATGCTCTTCCACGGTGCAAATTTGTGCTCATCTACTTACAGATGCATAGCTATTTATCAATTTTCCTGCTTTTGTTGTTTACAATTTTAATTTTTATATTTTTATTTATTATTTTTATTGTGAGCTTGGACTACTTTACCGCGTATACGTTGTCATTATTTTGTTAATTTTTTGTCTAGAACTTTACCGTCACTAATAATTTGCCTACAGAGATTAGAGTACAAATCATGAAGTTGTTGACTGCAAAAGTATTATGACTTTGGGAGTCATTGGTCTCTCTAATATGAGATGTTTGGCCACTAGGGCTGTTTTAGCCTGTTACTTTGATATAGTGAGTAGTGAATAGTTTATGTCCTCAGTATCTCTACATCTAAGTTTGAGAGATAGGTTTCTACCGTATTCATGTTTTATGCGCTACAGATTTGTGGTTGCATTTTTACATGGTCTATTATTATTTTTGAGTGTATTTATATCAATTTATTGTTTACTAGAAGTTCATTTAAATGAAGATGTACATTAAGAGTAGCATGATGGAGGGTAAATAAGTGAGGGATTTGATCTAGTTCTTTAAGGTTTGAATGTTCTAGATTCTCTTATTCTCATTTAATAGTTTTTTTGTGTGCTATAATTCTAACTATGGGTGAGCAAGGTTTGTTATATATGAACTTTATCTTAGTCATTCGTTGAGGTTATAAAGTTGACGAAATTTATGCCATTACTGCTAATAAATTTTTTGCTAATTGAAAGCTAACTTTCTTCCCAAGAATAAACAAGATTACGTTATTTTGGACTGAACGTTTTCAAAATATTTGGAGATTGTTGTTAGATCGAAGTATTCAAGCGTCACAAGTTGGCAGGCTTATACTATAATATGTACTTCATGCTTCGAACATAGGAATCGTAAGGCAATCTTGACATCACTAATATTCTGGAGTCTCTACTAAGATGGAAATAGGCCAATTGAACGCAAATAACTGTCGTTGCAACAGAATCTCAGACATGTTAAGAAGGACGGCTTCAACGGAATGGAGTGACAAATATAATGCAATTTCATCTCCTGTTTAAGTCGTAAATGAACCCTATCGTGAAAATGGTTGATCGGGTATTGCAATTTTCACCATCTGATATTTAGAACTGACAAAGTGAAGAGCTCCAATGAGTTAGAAATTAAAATCAAATATCTAGAGTTAGGCTAAGTAAGAGCTCCATTGCTTCTCACTTCGCTCTCCAACTTTACTTGATTATCCGAGTTTCGTACTCCTCATTTTGCCAGTATTTGTTGGCAGCTTTCTTGGTATAATAGTTTTGACAATTACGAATTAAAATCCCACTCATTGACTTATGAAATAGTGCGATAATTATATATGACTGGTAGGCCGAAAGTTTTTTTCCCATGGGCAATGAATGATTAAGTTTACCATTGCGCGAAATTTCATGCATAAAGACGCAAGTCAATTACATCATAATAGATGATTAGCGCATTTTTATTTTTATTCACTGGCCTTCATTTAAATAATTGAAATACTAAATTAACATACATTAGTCGCACGAGCAATCTCCGTATGATTACGGGAAGAGCTATTGTTTTCTGAGGACGTACTTGCAAAGACCTGTCATTAGAGTTCGAAAAGTACTTAAAATACCAGTAAATTTGATATATATACATGTGGGTGTGATTGCATTAACTATTTAGTGATAAAAGAACTTTGGGAATACGCGAAAGTTAAACCTAACTTGGCAGACAAGAGATTTTACAAAATGTTTAGCACCCAGAATCGTATACGTCAATTATTGTAGCACTAACACGTGATCAAAAATTGTATTCATTTACTATAATGAGGTTGGAAGAGCTACGGTTTCAGAAAATATGTCGTTTAACGAAAGTACCACTATTTTATAAGAATATGTGGAAACAAAAACGCTTCATAACCAATTCAACTGCAAACAATGAGATGATCATTATTTTCCCAAATAAAGTGGGACCATTTTTTATAATAAAATACGAAGGTATATTAATTAAGACATTTTTATAGCATTTTTGTTCTTCAAAGTAAGCGTGAATTTAAATGTCGACCTTGAGTGAATGAATTGCTTTCTTCAAGTGTGAAGGTACTACCCCATTTGGAGGCGTTGGCTACGTTATTTGCTTCTCGGAAAAATTATATATTGATTGAATGTCTTACTATTTTGCTTTATGAATTTTTAGTTTTATGCGTCTTCCCTTGTTTTAACTTGTTCTCGATGCCATTATCTCTGTCGTCACAATTTATTTATTTATTTTTCGCTTTCTGATTTACAGTACCTATGGCACCAGTGTCATCTATCTTTAACTACCGACGCTCTAATGCATTTCTATTTATTTTGGGTCTACTGTCAGGGTTTATTTTTGTCCGGGTATTGAATGGTTACAGATTTTCCCATTTTGACCCATCGAAACATTTTGGAAGCCGTGAGCTTGAATCGTCTCAGACTGCATCACTACAGTAATATCTTAAACCATTTACAAAATATCTTACTAGTATTTTATTTTGCTGCTTAAACGAATGCTCTTTTCTAGCTGATACACTTCTTGCTGATGAACTGGCGAAAAGGGTGAGAGTTTACGCCTTAATTCTCACAATGCCGCCTTCAAAACTAACCAAAGCGGTTCATGTAAAAGCGACATGGACACGTCGGTTTAATGGATACGTTTTTATAAGCTCGGAAAATGATACAAGTCTGCCAACAATTAGCAAGATTCTTCCTATTTTTAACTTATTACATTATATTGCCAATTTTTATTATATAAACCCTTCGTAACTCTCATGCATTAAAATTTTGTATGCAGTAAATGAAAAATTTATACAACCCAGTTTCATTCTACTTCGCGGGAAATTTCAATCAGAGGTATACGCTGCTGTTGACTTTATTTGTGCTCTATCTAGTGCCCTTTATTAATACATTGTAGCATCTGCCGTAGTGCTTCAAAGGAATTATGTATTAACATCGACATGGTTCAAATGGGGATGGACGCTCTTAAGTTTTTTGAAATAATTTATCTCCTAGTTTAGTTCTGCTTACATTTGTTGATCAGTGTTTCGCTTTACAAATTCCTGCCATTTTTTAAGGAGCAGTTGAAGTTGAGAGTCGAGAAGTTTTGTGGGAGAAGACACGGCAAGCCTTCATACACGCCAAGAAAAATCTCCTCGATAAGTACGATTTCTTTATGAAGGGCGACGATGATTCCTATGTTATTGTTGAAAATCTTCGCTTTATTCTCTCTAAAATGAACCCCAATGAACCCATTATTATGGGACGGCGATTTAAAATATTCTCAAAGTCAAATTTAATTTAAATCCCCTATGCTATTTATATATTGCACTCAGAATGCCTAGGGTCATGTTCATGTTAGTCCTCTTTTGAAATGGAATTTAGGGCTCAAAAAGTTCCTTTAAAATCTCTACTTGTGGTCTCATTCAAGTAGCATGTATCCGAAAAGCTATTGGTTCCTTAAAACCTTGAATCTTATTTATGCTAATTTTATGATGCAATATGTCTTATTAGTCGGGGAGCATACCCGTTATAATTATCTATGTTTGATTCATGGGGTGCGCGATAGACTTACCTCCACGTGGTGCACCCTGGACAGCGTATTTTCTAATGGCAAAAAAGTCTATCACTCGGCATTTTTTGAATTCTATTTATTATGATTAGCTTTAAAAAAGGCTACAAGAAAAATCGCCCTCGTCAGGGCTAATCACAACGTCTTCAGATCCTCCAGTGGAATGCTGGAGGAATGTCTCCGGACAAAAAGATCCAGGTCCAGAAAATCCTACAAACCTATGATGTAGACATTTTCACAATTATGGAAGCAAACATTTCGGATGACAAATTGAAGTACTACCAATTCCCAGGTTACACCCTGTACAATCTACCTAAATACCGGCAAGTTGCAAGTGTAATTCTAACTGGAGTAAAAGAAGGCCTCACCTCACACTACGATCTAATCAAGAGTATGGGCTCGACACAAGACAAATGTGAAATAATCAGATTAAATGTTTGGAAATGTCAAAACCACTTCAAGATATATGCAGTCTATAATCCACACCAGAATTGTCAAAACTTTGACTTTCTGAACATCTCACACAAAACTATAGTATTAGGGAGACTTCAACGCCCATTCCAACAGATGGGGCTACAAGGATACAAACATAGCTGGAAAGGAAATTGATGACATGCTAAACAGCAACCCTCTGGAACTTATTTACAGCAATGAGGATCCGGCTACATATTTGCACTACAATGGAACCAGAACAACTCCTGATTTACTCTTGGCTTCAAGCGACATCAGTGAGCATACACGCCGCAAAATAATTGAAGATCCTGGTTCTGGTCACAAACCAGTCATTGCTAGTATTACCATCGGCGGCAAAAGCATGTCATGGAAAGTGCCAACTGAGCTATCATGGAACTTCAAGAATGCTGACTGGTCTAGATTCACTAACCTTTTAGACAATGAACTGTACACTAG